AATTCTCCCAAATCATACCTGGCGCCCACCAGCACCTTCTTGGCTGCTAATGGGACAGTGGGCTCAGGGTGGGCATGGGGTACAGCTGCTCTCTGCACCAGCACCACCCGAGCACCGTTTCTCCCCTACAGTCCAAATTCTCTTCACTCCTCAAGCCACGAACAAAGTCCACAAAACACTGAGCAACTTCCCTTGCCAACATATGAAAAAAGTTTCAATCACCATGGCTCAGTCTTTGGCTGCAGATGGAGTGCAGGAGAATGCCTGTAGGAGTAAAAATAAAGACCTTTTTTTAAACCACAAGAAAACAATTTTGCAGGCCTGGATGTTGGTTTGAATTTTCAATACAGAAACTACACTGCTCAGAACTGTGTTTACCAGTAGCAACAGAGACGTTCAGCGACTCGATGCCGGGGTGCAGCGCTCGGCCAGGGGGTATGGCCACCATCCGATGGCACAGGAGCTGTGTCTCTAGGGAAAGTCCATCACCTTCACTACCTGCAGAAGAAAGACACTGCTCAGCTCACAGCCACTGCCATGTCCCTTTTTCCCCTCCAGAGTAGTTTTGCTAATCCTCTGTCAAGACTACAGCCTGCCCTTAAGCTCACCAGCAACCTCAGCAGCTCCCATGCAGCAACAGCCAAGAATTACCAGGGGTGAGTTGAGTAACTTACCTTCCTTCCCTTCCTGGCTCACTCCAGCCTCCCTAGACCCACTCTCCAGTACTTGAAGTGTTTTCTGAGGAATACCTGTGCAACAAGCCCACAAGAGGAGCATGAAGCTCAGAGCCTCATATGCTGAGAGCAAAGATCCCCTGCGAGCAATCACTGTGCCAGCTCACAGCTGCCCATGGACGTGGGCTGCTGCCAGAGGGACAAGGTAGACACGAGGCCAGGGCCCTGCTCTGGTCCAGCAAATCCCACATCCCTATTGATAGTGACGGGTTCAGCCTTTTCAGCACACAGTACCACCAGCTGGGTGCAACTTGTGAATGCAGACAGTTTAACCAGAGGCTTCAATTGATTAGTTGTTAAACCATCCAACAGCCCTGATATGTTTGGGCTGATACACTGGTGAAACAGAGTTGAAATCTATCCCAGGTCATTAGTAGTTGTTTGACTCACACTGTCACAAAGGGAAATGGAAAGGGAGAGGCTTTAAACAATCCTGCGGGCAGACAAGTGAAAATGCAGAAGACCAGAGACCTCCCAGTCCGCTCAGCTCCCCAAAGAATTCTTCCACATTCATTATTTAGAGCTATACAGACAGCTACACAGCTGCAAGAATCCCAGCTCATCTCACAGATGTGCTCACCCCCTGATAAAGCAGGCTCAGCGTGCTGGAAGCCAACTTTTCCCTCCAAGAGCCATACCCTGACCTGGGCCGAATCCCAGACTCGCCCTGGGGCAGCACTAGTGGGGCACACGCTGCTGCCCGGGGCTCCTGTGCCTCTGCCTGGGGTACCGGTCCTGTCACCAAGGCCTTGCTCAGCTCACCTAAATGCAGATTCTCACCTACATGGAACCTACAGGCACTTCCTATGCCACTGCAGACTCACTCCATAAGGCAAATGAGCTCCTTGCTTGGCTGAGTTGCCACAAAATTCTCTCCATTATCTACTCACAGCATGTCCCCCAGCAGGTCCTGTGCTCTGTCCCCATGTACCGACCCATGCGACACCGCTCCGACTGCACAGGGCAGGGAAGGGCTGCTCTTGCCAGCCTCCTGTTTTGCTGGCCTGACTTAACCTTCAAGATCCACTTTGTGCAAACGAAAGAGTATCTTGGGTCATGCATCTTGTGCCACCTTCCCACATGAAACAGGCCACACTGGCAAAAGGATCCTTTGGATGGAGTAAGGGAACCCTCAGAAAACAAACCCTCATCCTAACCAATGTTTTTTTCTTTTTCTTTCAGCCAGACATGCAGACAAGGGCCTGGGTGAGTTACCCAAAGTCACAGGGAAAGCCTGGGTGACACAAGGAATCACAGCCCAGTGTCCCACAGCCCGGCCTGGGCTGCCTCTTCATCACTAGACTCTGGCTCTCTAGGGGTGCTTCAAGAAAAAAACAAAAAGTTAAAAAAAAATGATCCTACTTTTTACTGATTCAACATAGAAAAGTTTTACAACTTAGAGGCCTACTTGTCTCCTGAGCCGCTCCAACCACACTCTCATGGGACTTTCCAACTGGGACAGCAACTATTGCCAGAGGTGTGGCAGCTCCTTGAGCAATCCTCTCCTCTCTCTGATAAGAGAGAGGTTCCTAATAACGGTTCCTTATGGTTCCAAAAAAGACAGCAATTTTGCTTCCAGTTTTACAAAGCTTTTTATGGCTCTGGCTGCTTACAATAATTAGGAACCATAAATTCAGGGCAAAAAGACTTGCAGTGTGACATGAGGGAGGGAGTATTGACTGAATCAGATTAAATCCTAGTTTATATTGGTGAAAAAAAACACAAAACACTTCCCACTTCAGATCTTTGACTTCCACCTCTCAGCTTTCACCCTCCCTGACAAGCCCCAGAGACCAGATTTAAGAGCCTGATGAAATGACAGGTTTCCTGCCCCATTCACAATGAACACCACTGTTTTCCAGTGCAGAAAGTTCAACCCCAGGCAGAAGCAGCCATGCTGGCTGCATCTCAGTAAAGCCACCAAACCCCAAGCTAAAGACTGAATGTGTAAGAAGAACCAATTACTCGGGAACTCTTCTTGCTCAGCCATCTAACCACTCCCCATCTGCTCCTGCTCACTCAAGGATCCCAGGCTGCAGGTCAGCCAGCCTGCCTGTCCCCTTCAGCAAGGACTCCAGGAGCAAACAACATTAAGCTGGACTGTCCAATCTCTCTCTGACAAGCCAGTGAAGATGCCAGGAGGGGAAATTCATGTCTGCAAAATACTCAGCTCAGAAGACAATCTCTGCAATGCTAGGAGGAAGCTCACTACCATGCTAAATTATCTCTGCTGCTCTCTGCAGCTACGCTACATATTCAGATCTAGGACGTTGCTTCAAACAACTCCAGCATCAGACAACTGTAACGTTCAATTTTCTTTTCAGTGAAGAGTTAGTGCTCAGCAGAGAGTTGAAATCATTACTGCTGCAAGGTCTGGGAGCTCTCCTCATACATCTACCAATCAGCCTCCAATATCCCTTGACAAAAGGATATTTGGACTTTTTCCTGGAGAAATCTCTCATAATTCAAAGGTAACGACACCACTGCCATTTTTACCCCCTTCCTTTCCTTGGGTGTTGTCATCATTTCTGGGATGCATTTCTTTGTGGTCCATCAGCAGCACTGCCAGCCTCTCTAACATAGCTCCACACATCTTGTAGAGATGCCAGATTTGCAGCATTGTCTTGTCAGTACTTCTAGGAGTTCAATAAACATTTTAATTAAAGGAATGTCTTCTGAGCCAAGAAAACTGCAGCATGGGGCAGGATTGCAGCCCCTCGATGGCTCCTCGCCAGCACGACCCTACTTCCAAGTGTAAAAGCTCCAACCAGCTCTTGTGCCAGGTGACACCCAGAGGGGGGCTCAGCACAGCCACACAAGGGTGCCTGGAGGAGTGCTCCTGGGGGAATTTCTTTCTCTAACAGTGTTACTCCCTCTCTTCACTTTCTGGGAGGCTGCACAGCCTAAAAATCAACAGCATCCTTTGCCAATGTGACCTCTGCATAAGGAGGAGGCAGAAGCAGAGGGCCCTGAAAGAACTGCCCAGTTTAGGTGCTCTGGGAGGTGGCACCCATTGCCCAAGCAGAGCTCAGGTTTGGCAGGGAGGAGGAAACCACAGCAACCAACAGCTCCTCCTTTCTCCTGGGCACAGAAACGCAACCACTGACTGTGCCACAAAGCCCAACTTTGTGTTCAGACCATGCCCAGAAACAGCTCCTCAAGCTTCTTTCCAGACCTGGGCATGGAAATACAGCCATGGGTTTTTAAGAAGAAACATAACAGAGTAAAGATAGGGTACAGCTCACCATTACAGCAAGAGCAAACACTGAAAAATCCCGATTCAGGGCTGTAGGACAGGATCAAACTCACTGCAGAACATAACACAAAACAACACGAAGTGGCTGCACTAACCCAGACCTGTCCTGACACCAAAACCTGCCATTTAGACCCTCTGCTAAACTCCCTGTTCATCCACACAAACTGGTTTGTTTCTTGCAGTTCCTACTGGGAGGCTTCTCAGCTTCTTCTGCCTCCGCATTTCCATTTGCTGCCAGATCATTCTAGTACTTCCTGCTCAACTTTGCTTCTCCAGACCAAAGTGTGATGCAGTGTTACAGACCTTCAACTGGAGTGAATCATCACCCAGATCCTTCCCTCACATGTGCATTTCCACCAAGCCCAGAGCTCTGTACATTGAAATACCTATTACTATAATAATGGGTTTATTCCATTGAAATTCCAAGCAGCTGATGACAGGTACATTTTCCACCTCTTCAGGTCTGCTGACTGTTCCCACCACCTCCCAGCCTTCTGCAGTTTTAGCCTGGAAAGAAAAAGGAAACAAATGTGAAATTATTGTCTAATTTTCAAGCTTAAAAAAGTAATGTATGCAAACACACTTTGGTTTTTTTGTTTTCAGTTAAGCTAACTGGCTTTTCTATTTGGTTGGGTTTTTTTTTTGGAATCCCTTGAATTTTTACCACCAAAGTCCGCCCAGTACCAGCACACAAGCTTTTATTTAATAAAAAAATGTGGGTTGTTTTTTTTTTTATTAAAAAGTAATTTTCCTGTTGGTGTTTGTTCCAGTTCAACAAGCAAACAAACAGCAACTGAAAAACCTTTTTTTTTTTTGGCTCATACAACAGTTCTAGGAAGGTTTTTGCCAAGAAAGCATATGAAAAGAGTAGTGAACAAATTAGCAGAAGGCTAATCCACAGAGCAAAGCAGTGGAAGTTCTCAAGTGCAGGCTCAGCCATCAGAAGCCCCCAGTAACGTTTTCAAATACAAGTGCATGTTTTCAAACTCAGATGCCAAAAATCAGCTCATACAAAAGGCAGCGCACTCAGCACTCGGTGCCTCACACAGCCAGAGAACCAGCCTCCCCTCCTGCACCTAAGTAAAAACAGCTCTCACGATTTGTCTTAGAAATCCATTTCAAAAAGAAAAAAGGAAAAAAAAAAAGCTGGTGCTTCCTGCCAGCTTCATTTCCTGTGAAATTGGCACTTTTTTACATCACATTACATCAAATTTACACTGGCCAGGCAATGGCAAGGGTTAGACCAGAGAATCTAGGTCCAATTAAATGAACTGCTGCAATGGCTCAAAATGTTAATAATTCAAACATTACAGTAACAAAGTGATTCTTCCCACTGTTTCAATTAAACATCTATATATTTTATGTAGCTTTCACTTCACCATCATCCAGAGTTCCACCTGCCACAGACCTACTGTGCAGCTGGACAAGGGTTTTCTAGCACCGAGTGGGCAGTCTCCAGGCTTAACCTCTGCTCAGGCTCCTCATGGTCACCCCAGACTATGATGGCTCTTCCTCAAAGGGACACAGAGAGGGGCACATCACACAGCCACCAGGTGCCTGTGTTCCCCTGAGGGCATGCAGCCTCTGTCCTCCCACCCTGTGCTGGACCCTCTGATCTCTCACTCACCCTGCTCCCCCAGGACTGGAGATCTCTCAGACACAGGGGAGAGCCAACAGCTCCCTGCTTTGTGTGCACACAATATCCAGTCAGTCCCCAGCCCTGCCAGAGTACAGGAGACCTGCAGGAGTTGGGGCAGTCACACAGTGCAATCACAGGGGATGGACACACTCTGCCAATACCAACTTCTTTGGGTTTGTTTCAGTTTAAATATTTTTTTTTCCTACATGCATTTCCTCTCCTTTTGCAGCATGTTCTGCAAAGGGCCCTACCTCACCTCACAAGTACAGTGTAAAAAGATTCTCAGCAGCTCCCACCAGTTTCTCCTCTCTCCCCAAAGGCTGCCCAATGCTGCCATCGTGTGCCTGGGCCCCGGGGTGCTGCCTCTGCCATGTGCTGGGCAACATCTGCTGCAGGGATGCCAAAAAAAGGGATGCCAAAAACAGGAGCTCTGGTCCCCAAGGAGAGAAAAGGAGACAGACCCTGTCTTACCGAGCTGGCAGCCTGAGTATGGGAGATAGACACAGCATTATCCTGCTATCACCACCTTCCAGAAAAACAACCTCAACACAGAGCTGTTAGCCCACCCGATGGATTGGGAACGAGGTGCATGCCTGTCAGAGGTGGTCCAACAGCACAGACCACCGGCAGCAAACAGGAATGCAGAGCACAGGACACAGCAATAGCACAGTCCTTGCCCTGCCTCCTCGATGTTCAACACAGGCCATGTTTGAGGTTTCTCAAAGGGAAAGCAGAAAAAAACCAAACAAAACCAAAACATGGATCATCCTACTTTCAAAAAGCTCCAGAGATCATCTATGCTGTAGACATCAAAGACTTCCATAGCTCCAGAGCTGGCTTTGCTCACTGTCGGAGTCAAGGGGCAGCTGCAAGGAAAAAAGAAAAGTGCCAAATGAGAGCAAAATAAGGAAACTCAGAATTTTTGTTTCTGTATTTCCTTCTCTTGCTTCTGCAACCCTATTCCACTTAAGTCCACTAAAGATCTTGTTCACTATTCAGGTGTGTTTTTCTATGAAGAATAGGGCTCAGAATTTAACCTAGTAAATAAGTGGTATGTAGCAGCTTTGTGCACAGCTGGACAGCTGAAACACAAAATGGGTTAAAACAGAAGTACCCAGGAATGTTCCTTACCAGGCTGGCCTACCAGCTCCCGAAGGAGGCTGCAGTGCAAAACACAAAGCAGCAGCTACCCAAATTCAGCTGGCAAGCTCAGTCCTAGAAAGCCCTCTAAAGAAGCTGTTGAGCAAAGCAGGCTGGAAACCTCTTTGGGAGTCAGCAGGAAAAGAAAGAGAAAAGCTGCAGGAGCAGATAACCAACCCCATACCTGCTCTTCTGGCTTGTCACCACTCTGTCCACCCCCAAGAAGTATGCAGAGCGCAGCAGTGCCCCCAGGTTCATGGGATCCTGGATCTGCTCCAACACCAGCCAAATCAGCTGTCGGTTTGGACTCTCTTCATCCCTCAGATCAGGCTTTTCAGCTTCCTCCAAACTCTTGAAACGGAGAGGGGTGGCCTCCAAACAAACACCCTGGTGGACCTGACCTCTGCAGAGAGCATCCAGCTCCCTCCTCTTGACGTGGTGCACTGGGACTCCCCGGGCCTTGGCCTGAAGGACAAACTCGCTCATAACGAGCCGCTGCGAGCCACTGCTCTGCTTGAGGAACAACCTGAACAGGTCCCTTCTCGACTGAGAGAGGGCCAGGGAGCACGGCGCGATCCCAAACAAGATCTCTGAGCCTTTAGTCCTCTCGATGCACAAAGGCTTTCGTTGCAGCCTCTCCCTTGCCTTTGAGCAGTCACCCTCTCGCAAGCTCCAAGACTCCCTCCTGGCCTGCCCGGCCCGCCTCTCGCCTCTCTTCTGCCAGGAC